AGACAGACAGACAGACAGACAGACAGACAGACAGACGACCAAGGGTCCCACACCTACAAATCTTCCCGTAGATTTATTTACAAGATTTACACAGCCGCCCATCTTATAGCAGACTCTGGGCGGCTCCCAATAGAATCGAGAATGATAACGGGCTTCAGCTCCATTAATTTGCAGGAATGGCTCTGCGCAAGGGACTAGTGGGTAGATGAAAGAAGCAATGCATGAACGGCGTGGGTATATCGGTGCACACGGGCATGGTTTGCCCCCATCGCAACAACGCCCTGCTATTTCCTTGCTGCAGCTGTTTTCAGCTTTTTTTGCAAACATTTTTGCAGTGCCTTGAATTGAGGAGGGGGGAGACTTCCCCCCGCCCGCTCCCCACCTCCTTCTCCCAATGGAGTTAGGGAGCTGGGATCCCAAACCCTGGGGAAAGCCACTCCGATTGTTGTGGGTGTGTGTAAATATTGCTGCGCCTCCCTCCGAGGTTCTTAGGAAAGTTTACTTAAAGTAGGAAAACGAAGACTCAGCCTTCCTTCGCCACCCAACTCACGGCCCAGGGAGGGATTAAAAATACTCAGAGGTTCCCAGATCCCAGGGAACGCTGCTCTCTTCCCACCAAAGGTGGTTCTCCTGTTTTTCTACTACTTGCATTTTTTTTTTACTTGCTTTCGAACTGCTAGGTTGGCAGAAGCTGGGACAAGTCACGGGAGCGCCCTCCGTTATGCGGGTGCTAGGGATTCGAACCGCCGAACTGCCGACCTTTCTGATCGACGAAGCTCAGCCTTTTAGCCACTGAGCCACCGCATCCAAAGTGAGCCAATCTGCGTCCCGATCGGGAGGCTCGCCCTAATTGTCCGTAAGCAACGGTTCAGTTACAATCCAGAGTAAGAGAAATAGGGCTGAGGTGGTGAAAAACGTGGCACAGGTTTGCCAACCGATGACAAACGGGATGTTTGGGGAACGCATGGCATGGTGGCACCAAGGTGATTGCTCTCAACCGAAACTTCAACCGAAGGAGCCCCGGTTTATTCATGGGAATTAGCTTGCGAAGTTAGCCGGATTCCTCTTTCTTCCCTTCCCTTCCTTTCTCTCTCCTTTCTTCTCTTCCTCTCTCTTACCTTTCTTCTGTTTCTTTCCTTCCTTCCTTCCTTCCTTCCTTCCTTCCTTCCTCTCTCTCTCTCTCTCCTGTCCCTTCCCTTTTGCTCCCTCTCTTCCCTTCCTTCCCTTGCTCTCTTCTTCCTTCTCTTCATTTCCCTTCTTCTCTCTCTCTTTCTCCTTCCTTCCCTTCCTCTCTCTTTCTTCTCCTTTCTCTTTCCTTTCTCTCTCTTCTTCCTTCCCTTTCGCTTTCTCTCCTCCCTTCCAAACCTTCTCTTATTCCTTCCCTTCATTTCCCAACTTCTCTTTCTCTCCTTCCCTTCCTCTCTTTCTTTCCTCTCCTTTCCCTTTCCTTTCTCTCTCTCTTCTTCTTCTCTTCCCTTTCACTCTCTCTCCTCCCTTCCCTTGCTCTCCTGCCTCCCCTTGTTCTCTCTCCCCTTCCTCCCCTTCATTTCCCTTCTTCTCTTTCTCTCCTTTCTTCCTCTCTTTCCTCTCCTTTCCCTTTCCTTTGTCTCTCTCTTCTTCCTTCCCTTCCCTTTCACTCTCTCTCCTTTCCCTTGCTCTCTCCCCCTTCCTTCCATTCATTTCCCTCCTTCTCTCTCTTTCTTCTTCCTTCCCTTCTTCTCTCTCCCTCCCTTCCCTTTCTCTCTCTCTCTTTCCTTCCTGTCTCTCCTCCCTTTCCCCCCCTCCCTCCCTTCCTTTCTCAAGCTTTGCCACTATAATATGTGTGGACTTCAACACCCAGACGTCCAAAGGGAACTTCAACTCGATTCCCAAATCCACACATTGTGGCCAAGGTTGAGAACCATTGAGTTACGAAGATCATTGTCAGCACCAACAACCCTGTGAGGTAGGTTGGGTTGTGAGTGAGTGTGTGTGTGTGTGTGTGTGTGTGTGTGTGTGTGTCTGGGCCAAAGTCACCCACCCAACATGGCGAACGTCATGGCTAAGACGGGTCTTGAACTCACAAAACCTGTGGACTTCAACCCCACACCATAGCTGGCTGGGGAATTCTGAGAACTGAAGTCTAATTGTCTTAAAGTTGGCAAGGTTAGATACCCCTTGCCTAAATATTAGCTAATGCGGAGCAAACCCCGAAGCAATTCTCGAAGGAGCTGGAAAGACTCTTTTCCAGAAATTCAACTTCGGCTACTTTTTGATTTTGACCCCCAATGTGCAAACTTTCCAATTAGACAGGACTCTTCAACAGTGGTTTAGCTGAGCTCTGTGAAACCCCAAAATACTCAGGTATAGAAATGATTTTCTATTCTTCCTCCCTTCTTGGAAGCCAATCCGTACTGGGCACAACTACTGAGAAAACCATTCACACAACAGTCTTGACACTCATCCTTAAGCAAGCCCGTTTCCTAGGTTAGAACAGTATTTCCACCCCAAGTTAACCAAAGAGGTTGGACGTCACTAGGATAGATATTCAGCCAGAGTAAAAACAAACCAAGATTAACATTAACCAAGATTCTTGCCTCGTGTGAACAGAGCAAGTAGATCTTTGGTGAATTATTCCAGGGTACTTGTACTATACGCCATCAGGGCATTTCATTGTGCTAAAGAGGGTAAAGCCTTCCTCTTCCTCCTCTCTTTCCCATTCCCCTCTTTCTCCTCCTTCTCCTTCTTCTATGCCTTTCTCCTTCTTCCTTCTCTTTCCCCTCCCATTCTTCTCCTCTTCTCTTTTTCTTCTCCTCCTCCAATATCGCCCTCCTTTCTCCCCTTCTCTTTCTCCCCTCCTTCTCCTTCTCCTCCTCCTTTCTCTCTCATGTTTCTCTTTCTCTTCTTATTCTCCTCCTCCTCCATCACTACCACCCTCATTTCTTCTTCTCGCCTTCTTCTTCTCCTTCTCCTTTCCCTCCCATTCTTCTCTTCTTTCTCCTCCTCTCTTCCTCCTTCTCCTCTTCATCCTCCACTGCAAATCCTCATTTCTCCTTCTCTTTTCTTCCTCGCCTTCTTGTTTTTCTTTCTTTCCCTTTTTCTTCTCTTTCTCCCCCTCTCCTCTTCATTCTTCTCCTCCTCCTCATTCTCCACTACTACCATCATTTCTCCTCCTCCTCCTCCTCCTTTTCCCTCCTTTTCTTCTCCTCCTTTTCTCTTCTTTTTCTTCTCTTCCTCCTTTTCTCCTTTTTCTCCTCCTCCTCCTTCCCCTTTTCTCTCCTTTTCTCCTCCTTTTCTCTTCTTTTTCTTCTCTTCCTTCTCCTCCTTTTCTCCTTTTCCCCTCCTTTTCCCCTTCCTCCTTTTCTCTTCTTTTTCTCCTCCTCCTCCTTTTCTCCTTTTTCTCCTCCTTCTCCTCCCCCTTTTCTCTTCTTTTCTCCTTGTTCGCTTCCTCCTCCTCCTCCTTCTCTCTCCTTTTTCTCCTTCTCGCTTCCCTTCCTCCTTCGCCTCCCTCCTTCCCCATCCCAGTCCCCGTCCATTTACGTACCACCAAGATGAGGGTGCCCAGGCATTCTGCCAGGGCCTGCCGGACCAACTTATTCCTGATCTGCAGCCTCCGTCCAAGGGCCGTCAGCATTTCCTTCTGCCTCCCCATGGCGCCTGGAGCTCACGATACAGGTGTGGAAGAAGCCTGGAAGATGCCTGGCTCTGAACTTGCTAGCCAAATCTCTCTCGGAGGGCTGATGCTCAGAATCCAAACCTTCCCCAGCTTATAAGCAGGTGGAGAGAACCTGGATCCGCCCCACTTCCTCCTCTGCCCTGTGGCTGCTTCTAGTGCACACCCATGCACTGACACACCCACTACACAGCCTTGCACAGAGTGTGTGGTTTTCTCCCTTCCTTTTCTCCCCTTCTTGTCAGCAACGTCATACACACACACACACGCACACAGACTAAAGTCACTGCTCGGTTCAAGCAGGGTGTTTGGCCTTTTGCCAAATTTAATCCCCAACCTTCCCAAGGTGGTTAAGGATCTCAAACCCAGGATAAACCAGGATCGTCTAGGGATAAACTCAACCTTCCTTAACAGGAATCAGGATCATGTCAAGTGCGGGCGGGGGAATCAGGTTTGGATATATATTAAGGTAGCAGCGTAATGTATATTATTATTATTAGAATTCTATAGGTTGAAACATAGTTTGTAAGTTAGATAAATGGAATTTGAATAAGGGCATTATTAAATATGTATAAAGATGTGGTTAACAGTGAAAAGGTGGATTAAGTAATTTGAGATTAGGCAAGGAAGGGACATATTTCAATGGAAACGAGTATTAAGAGCAGAATCATAAGGATTGAAGGGTTGGGAAAATATTAAGTATGTAAAATATATGACTAACAAGGAATATACATTAAATGCCTGAAAGGCCATGATTGATGTTAGAAGTGTATGTTGAAATAGTGAACAATGAAAAAAGGAAGAATGATAGGGGAAGGAGGGAAAAAAGGACTAAAATAAAGGTAGAAATAAGAGGTGGAAAACAGTAAAAACATATGGGAGAACTATGAGAAGGTTTAGAATTGAAGGATGAAAGTAGAAGATATGTGTTAGTAAAACTAAAAATGAAACGTAATTATTAGGAATAATATGTTTGTTAGTATTGATGTGTATGACACCCAGGAATCAAACCATTCACACAATGGGATGTATAAGAATAATAAAAATTTATTTTTTAATATTGGTATTAATGAGTGGTATGTTTTTTTAATAATACCATAATACTGGCTCCGACTTTGGAGAGATGTTAAACAGTAGGAGAGGTGGAAGGGACCTTGGAGGTCATCTAGCCCAACCCCCTGCTCACGCAGGAGACCTCTACTAGGGATTTGATCCGCCAAACTGCTGACCTTTCCAATTGACAAGCTCAGTGTCTGACTGAACCACCAGGCCAGGCAGATGTGAAGCTTCTGTGAAGTTTTTCTCAGGCAATTCCTCAGCACTGAAACAAGAAATATTTTGCAAGGCAATCCTAGGCTGCATCAACAGAGGGAGAGAATCAAGATCACATGAAGTGTTGATACAACTTTATAAGGCCTTGGTGAGGCCACACTTGGAATACAGCATCCAGTTTTGGTCGCCACGACGTAGAAAAGGTGTGGAGACTCCGGAAAGAATGCAGAGAAGAGCAACAAAGAGGATTAGGAGACTGGAGACTAAAACATATGAGGAACCGTTGCTGGAATTTAATTTAACAGTTGCTGGAATTTAATTTCTACTTTAATGAAAAGGGACATGGTGGCTGAGTGGCTAAGACACTGAGCTTGTCAATCAGAAAGGTCAGCAGTGCGGCAGTTCGAATCCCTAGCGCCGCGTAACGGAGTGAGCTCCCATGATTTATCCCAGCTTCTGCCAACCTAGCAGTTCAAAAGCAGGTAAAAAATGCAAGTAGAAAAACAGGGACCACCTTTGACGGGAAGGGAACAGCGTCCGATGCGCCTTCGGCTTTGAGTCATGCCGGCCACAGGACCACGGAGGCGTCTTAGGCTTTGAAAGGGAGATGAGCAGCGCCCACTAGAGTCGGGAATGACTAGCACAGGTGTGTATGGGGAACCTTCACCTTCTCAATCTTTGCAACTTGGAGATGTGTGAACCTCACAGCTGGCTGGTAAATTCGGGGAGTTAATTCCAGTCCTGAAAAAAGGAGATAAAAAATGATTTAGCCCAAGACCGTCACAACTCCAGCTTACAACTATTCGTTTAATGACCGTTCAAAGTTACAACGGCCCTGGAAAAAGTGACTTACGACCTCTTTTCACGCTTACGACCGTCACACCATCCCCATGGTCCCGTGGTCAAAATTCAGACAATTGGCTAATGGTTTCATACTTATGACAGCTGCAGTGTCCCCGGGGTCACGTGATTCCCTTTTGCGACCTTCTGATGAAGGGGAAGCTGATTCACTTAATAACCAAGTTACTAACGGCAATGATTCACTTAACAACGGCGGCAAGAAAAGTCATTAACTGAGGCAAAACTCACTCGACAGCGCCCTCGCTTGGCAGTTTATTTTACTATTTCACTATTTCTCACGGAGTAAAAAAAAAGAAGGCAGCATTTGTGGGTCAAATTCATAGAAAAACACCCATAATTTAGCCATGATAATAACTGCCCCCATGTAATCGAATTTTATTCATCATTTTTATTGTGTGTTGCATTGTGCATTTTATTGTGCGTTTTAAGCCGATTCACTGCATTGGGGGGTTCATATTTGCTCAGTAATGCAGATGTTGGGGTCAATTGTGGTCGTACGTCGAAGATGACCTCTTATGCCAAATCCAGACGATGCAAATCTGAATCAAAACCCCAAAGAGAAGCGAATTGGGATGAACGACCATCCTAGTGTTGAACATGTGAAGATGTGCACCACGCTGGCCTCTGTCGTGTGTGGGAAGTCCCCCTTAATATCTGGAGCTTATTAATATCTCCAGCCCCAATTCTCTCAAACATCCAGCACACACCATTCTGTGCAAAATCAGGGCAGCCTTGTGGTGTGGTTTGGCTGCAATGCTGAGATATCCCATGTGCGACATATCTTACACCGAAACACGGAAGTATTAGACCTGCAGTTGAAGTAGGTCCTTATGTGGAGAAGAACTTCCAGTCTGGTGGCTATCATCCTATTATTTGTATTTGTATTTATTTGTCTTGTATGGCGCCCACTCCCGAAGGACTCCGGGCGGCTCACAATAGACAAGGGAAGGGGGAAAACTGGACGAAGACAAGACTTTAAAAACAAAAACCGCAACATTCACAATTTCCGTGGGCCTGGATGTAACTTATTTCGGGCCTTAGGTGTCTCGTGTCACGCTGCATGTACCGGCACTTGACACACCTCCACTGCTTCCAGTTAAATAGGAGGCAATCGTGTGCGGCGGCAGCCCAAAAACCCAACGCTATCCTAAATTGTGTTAACAGAGGAATACAATCAAGATCAAGGGAGGTACCAATGCCACTCTATAAAGCCTTAGTAAGGCCACACCTAGAGCACTGCGTCCAGTTTTGGTCAACACACTATAAAAAAAGATGTGGAGACTCTAGAAAGAGCACAGAGAAGAGCAACAAAAATGATTAGGGGACTGGAAGCTAAAACAAATGAAGAACGGTTGCAGGAACTGGGTATGTCTAGTTTAATGAAAAGAAGTACTAAGGGAGATGTGATAGCAGTCTTCCGATCTCTCAGGGGTTGCCACAGGGAGGAGGGGGGGTCAAGCTATTCTCCAAAGCACCTGGAGGCCAGACAAGGAATATTGGATGGAAACTGACCAAGGAAAGATTCAACGTAGAAATAAGGAGAAATTTTTCAACAGAACAATCAACCAATGGAACAGAAGTTGCCTTCAGAAGTTGTGGGAGCTTCAATACTGGAGGCTTTCAAGAAAAGACTCGACTGCCATCTGTCAGAAATGGTGTAGGGTCTCCTGCTGGGCGGGGGGGGTGGACTAGATGACCTACAAAGTCCCTTCCAACTCTGTTAATCTGTTAATTTCTGACTGGCCCATAATTCTGTAAACCAAGGGTGTTCAATCTTGGCCACTGTAAGACTTGTGGATTTCAGCTCCCAGAATTCTTCTATCTATCTATCTATCTATCTATCTATCTATCTATCTATCTATCTATCTATCTATCTATCTATCTATCCATCTATTCTCTTGCTGACTGGGGAATTGTGGGAGTTGAAGTCCATGGGTCTAAAGTGACCAAGGTTGGACACTCCTACTGTAAACCAATTGTATCTTTTGGAGGACATAATTTGGGAAACATTGGTAGACGTCAAAGAAGGGAATGAAGTCAATACGGCAACCGGTTTCCACCAGATTTCATGATGCACATTAAAAAGGAAGCACATTTGGGCTGCCTGGCCGCAGCCGACATCTTGACCTCCCCTGTGGACATCGCAAATTTCCTACTAAATTACTCATTGCCTAAGACACGGACGGCATCATTTGAGAGTGGAAGTAAAAACTTCACCCATGAATTTAAGACAGGGCGGGGGGGACTACATGTTACATCAGCGTTTTTAGGAGGCAGTCTTGAAGGAACCCTTCCATTTAGGTCTGACTCAACCCCAGCTGAACATCCGTGGGCCTAGACCCATTCAACTCTAGCTCAAATTAGAGTGTGACACAACACAAGGTGTTGTGCAGGAAAACCACCACATTGTGAGTCACCGGCTCAAGGGCCCCTGAAGTTGTGGAGTTGTGCAAGTTTTGCTGAGCTTCTATCGTCCGTGCGTGACTCACGGGGGCTGCTCCTATAGTTGCCTCCGTACCGTCAGATCTGCAAAATGCAAGACATCCCGATCAAAGGAACCGGCTAGTGCCGGTTGGAAGGGATTGGGGTGATCTCAACCCTGGCCAGAAGGGATGAAGCAGAAACGGGCATTCCAAAGCGATTTATTTGAAGGCGACTCCGAGGGAAAGTCAGTTTGCCTCTTTCCTGCTGACCGAACAGCAGCTGCAGAATCTTAAAATTCTAAACCTTTTAAAGTTAAACCAAACTTGGTTGAAGAAGACACAGTCCCTGGGTTCACACGTCTCCCTAAGCCTTAAGTGAACTCCAGTTTTAAGAAAGTGATCTTAACACTATCATTGTTGTTTTTTTAAAAGCATATTTGGGGCCCATTCATCCAAGCTAGAATTTTTCATTTCTTCCCAAACTGTAAAAATGTCTCCAAGAACTTTGCTGAGAGGTGTAGTCAAAAGCTTTTAGAAATTAAAGACCTTCTACTGGAAACTTATCTCTGAGGATAGATTTCTGGATGCTTTTAAATAACTCCAGCAAATTAGCAAGACAACACTTCCCAGAAATTGAAAATTGTTTCTCAGCAAAAGATGTTTTTCTTATCTGCTCCGCAATTTGTGGTTGATAACAACCATTTGCTCAAGAGAAAGCAATTTTCTTTCATGTTCTGGTTATTCCACATTACGCCTTTAAAAAAAAAAAGGATTCCTTACTACAACCTATCCATAAAATTCCAGATAGTGGCTGTGACAATCACAATCAACACACCCTGAACTTTTTTTTGACAGCTATCCTGTCATCTGCTACAGAAAATATTTCTTTTTTTTTCTCATTTTTTAAAATCTTATTTTAGTACAAATAATCCGTCTTCCATTAAACGGTGTTATCGTCTGGGTACAAATATTTGTGCGACGACAATTAAAATTTACAATCATATTCATTATTTAATCTATTCTTAGCTTAATACCAACGCATTAAATATCAGATACTCTGCATCCTCTTCTTAGTTCGCTTAACTCTATTAATTATTTTCTACATTTTACTCATCTACTTTTATGTTGTGACTCAGCAGAAGTTTGCTGTGAGTTGAGTCGGGATGCAGGAATAACAATGCAGCTGGGGCTCGTT